CACTACAGTAAACAAAGCTACGGTATTTTAAATAATTAATGTAGTCACAATTGTTTGATATTGAACAAAGAGTATTGTATCCGAATGAAGGTGTTGAATAGTTTTACAGACTAATAAAATACCACATATGTTGAAGGCTAAAATCATGATTTGCACATCCTAGATTTATAAGTTTAATTTTCACTTTATTATTATTAATTGTTATCTATTCCAGGTCCTTTGTATACTTTTTACCATTTTATGACGAAACAATAGTATTGTGATTGTCACCGTAAAAGTCTTCACTGTAAAGGTTTTTTATTTAAGTTGCACGATGAAGGATAGTTTTTCTATTTGTAGTTTAAACATAAAAAATCTCATAGCTGACAAATAAATTATGAAGCAAATTAAGGTAAATTTAGTACATTAACTCAATCAGCACAAGGTTATACAGTTATGTCTAAGCATGGAATGACAAGTGGAATAAATGTAAGGTTTCCCCTCCCCCATTGTTATCTCTTTAGGTTTTTGAAGATTTCAAATCATACATAGGTTAGACAAGCATTGTGTAAACGGTTTCAATTTCTTAACTATCTGACCATTTAAAAATATCCTAAATATCAATAAAAATTTTAAGTTTCACCTAACTGTAGTTTACACAACTATTGTGTAAGTACAAGTACAGTTTGGATTAGTGGCGAGATCATGGAACGACAGACTGAAAACCAAAGTCATAAGATCAAAAACCCCCAATAAGATTCAATATGATTTAGAGTTACAGGTTTGACTACTGTATCTCATACTATTGGAATGGACAAGTTGACTGTCTACTCTGGTTCAGTTCGCAGTTTTCATACTAGGTGAGGTGTTAAGATCGGAACACAGATATATGGACTGGTGCCAGGCTCTTGACATTGCACTTGCTATTGAACCGAACAGAATGTTGTGTACGAGTTACAAAACTTGGCTGCTTTTAGCCTCCACACTACATTTACGGCTTGGAGTTTGAGCAAGTGCTGTTTACAAGATGTATTTAGAATTTACAGATTTTTTTAGCGAATTTCCCATATCTAAACGTACTCACTAAAATAAATGTTATTTAGATAAGAAATAAATCTGACAATTTTTAGAAAATATGTTAGTAGAAATCCAGCCAGGTAAATGGAAATTCGCTTAGTCTGCAGGTTTGCTGCGGAGAGGGTATTTTAATCATAATTAAATCTGAAAAGCTGTTTTTGGCCCTTAAAAATTACAATTTGTTACTAAAATTGTAACAAAAAAAAACATTGTGTTTTTGTTTTATCTTTGTTTGATATGATTGTAGTTAGTAAACCATGATTAATTAATAAAATGAAACGGTTACAATACAACTAACAGAAGTGTTAGGAAGTAGACTGATCTCCATTGTGGTTCACAATACAGTATTTGTCTAGTTGGGGTGTTGTCTAGCAGTGGCTATAGTGCTTGCCTTCAAATCTGAAGGTTGCTGGTTAGATTCCAAGCGAGATTATAATGGGGCCCAGAGATGCCATTTGTTGTTGGGCTATCAATTAACGATGCTGTCTATTTAAAGTCAACGTGAGATCGTAACAAGAAGGCCAGGGTTTGGACCATTACCTTGCAAAAATAACCGTAAAAAATTCCACAAATGTAGATACACACAAAGTCAAATCTTTTTAAATTTCCTTATCTTATAAACTTAAAAATCTTGTAAACTGGAATATCAACAACAAACCAAAGTATACCAGAGTAAGTGTGAGTCAGCCAGTCAGCCAGTCAGCCGAGTGTTTGAGGTTGGGAATGGAGACCATAACACCAGGGACCAGGGTCAGATCTCACATGTTTGGCAAAGGTTGAGGTGGACTGGCGTGGAGCCATCTCAGTGACTAACATTGCTGTCATACCATACTTGTGCTGCGGGGAAGCATCTTCTAAATTTGAATCATTTTATTTTCCGATTCACTACTATACTAAATAAACACTCCTGTAGCAGCAAACCTGCACTAAGCGAGACTAAGTGAATTTCCATTTGTCTGATTGGACTTTCACTAAATTATTTCCATAGAACTGTCAGATTTATCCTCTGTTTGGATAACATTAGATTTAATGAATCCTTAGGTTTGCTGCTACAGGTAAGGTAATTAAGTGGGGTTTTTTCAGGAAAATGTCAATAGCTTAGAATTAAATAAATACATTTTTCAAATTTGATCACAATATATCCATATACAAGCAAACTTTAGCACTTTAAGTATTATCCATAAGAATATAACATAAACATTTTAATTTTTTTTCTCTCCATAACTATAAGGCATGCAACAAAACTTCAACGTATTACATTGTTTTTTTTTAAGCTCTATAAAATGGCTTAGAAAGAAATGAATAAACGTTATGTTTAGATGGTCAAAAATGGTTAAATTTTATTTCCACCCCGTAATACCATGTTCCCAATGTCCGATCATGCTAGTTCAAAAACTCGTTTGATTAAACATAGATTAACACATTTGTACCAAATTTCATCGAAATCAGTTGATTTTTATCGAGGTTATGTTTTTGGCCTTTGGGGACAACAAAAGCAACAAAATCAGTCCCAGGCGCAGGTCTTACCATGAGACCTATGGTAATAGCTTATTTTCAACATGGGAAATTCCCTAAAAGTAAAAATAACCAAAGTGTAAACCACTAAGTGGTTTAGGACAACTCATTCTTTTAAAAATTTGGTGTGATTTTGTTTTTACACTGTTTCCTTTTTTTAAAGGGGACAGACAAAACCTGGTTTTTTAATCTAATACTGTATTACCGTATTTAAACCTTTTGTTAGATACATCATTATTTGATAGCCCAAAGACAAATGTCATCTGGATCCAGAATCCACCCTGCTTACGGTAGATCCAAAAGGCACAATAACACAGGGTTGATTTGAAGGCGAGCAGTATACGTACTTGTCCAATGGCCACCAGACAATTCAAAACTATTCAGTCGCCAAACCCAAAAATAGGTTCACCCGATAGCCTACTTCAGGTTTCACCTTTTTAATACAAATGATTTTGGGAGAGAGAAAGAAAAATTTGGATTATTATTTATTGTATTGTTTTATAATATGTTGTATAAGGGTACGTCCACGATGCACGCTGGCATAAGCAGGAGATCAGATTCAAATTTTCGGCACCGAGTATCTGACTCCGTTGTGGTGGCCATAATACAAGTTGTAAGCTGTACCTGTCTGTGCTGAGACCTATAAGGGTTACATACATATTTTCCCGCAACTTCTTGCAGACGACATCAGGTTTTTTTAATATTTCAGAACGAGCTTGTACACCTTATATTTAATCCTCTTAAAAATCGAGCACAAGCTCACCAAGAACTGGGGAAATTATCACAAAACCCTAAATTAGCATGACCCCTTGAGGTGAATAAATTTATTTCCGCAAGTTAAATTGTTTATTTTGTACAAAGGCAATATGACAAACATTTAATTAAATCAGCAGATAAATTTTAGGTACAATGGTGTTATATTTTTTTTAAATAATGCGCTTTGATGCGCTTATTGCAATTTGCTGGAATGTGTTGAACTTTTTATAGCAATTCGTCGCTATCCATGGTTAATTTAATGAAACACTCAATACAAAAAAAATCGACAGTCCAATAGGCAGGTTGTCTGAAACCAGAATGGACAATTCATTCCGGGAAAAAATCTGAGTCAGACTGCCTGCGTGCAGAAAATCGGTGCGCAGGTGCACTATGGCCGCTTACGTTTACCAGCATTGGACAATAAGCGTGCCGAGTCTCGGTGCCGACAGTCTGACTCAGAAAACCAGCGTGCATTGTGGACGTACCCTAGGCTGCGTTTACATTGGAAGCACGCTTTAAATGGTGGCGCACGCTTGCGCAAGCATGCAGTTGCCGATGGTGTGGTTATACTAGAGCAGAGCAACCAAGAACAAGTGGTCGCCCCCACTATATAGTCACAGTAGGCCTACATCACAGATCAGTCAAAATTGAGATGTCAGATGATGCGGACATTGTGCTTGAAAATGGAGTTAAATTTGTATTATTAGACTCCGAACGTGTTGGGGGGAACGGGAAACTGTGGGAGTCGATGTAATGTTTGTATAATTATTTAATAAAAAACATAACTATACCGACTAAAACAGTATAGTTTTAATAATCCTAGCCTAGAGGAGCTTAATTTATTCATCATAGCATTATTACAGGTCTATTTTGATAGAAAAATAAAATTCTGTATTTTGATTAACAAGTTCAAATTCATTTGCAAATAGCGTACAGCAATGATAATGCTGTAACTATAAAAAAGTCATAAAAAAGAACTGTATCAATCAACGCCTCGGTATCCGTTCTGAACAATTAAACTACTGTACTTATAACAACACTTAAAATATAAAAAAAACAACAGTTTACAGATACACAACCTATGCTACTTTGTCAGTGAACCACGACAAACTGAGGCACGCTTGCTTCAAAAACAAATTTATTTGTTTCGTGATTTGAGAAGCGCAAGCTTGTCCCAGCGTGCGCTTGCTAGTGGCGAGTACTGTAACCATGACTGGCCAAGTCGCCACCGGTTTCCAGTAATCTGCTACAATTTTGTTTCAAAGGGCAAGCTTGGCCAAGCGTGCGCCACCATTTTACTTGTCCAAGCGTGCCTCCAATGTAAACGCAGCCTAAGGCCAATAGCCTGCCTTAATAGGAGTTTGGCTTCCTAGACAATTAAAAACCATTGATGATCTACCAAAAAGAGGATAATACAATTGCATACGGTACACCAGGTATTTGAAATTTTTAGTGAAAATATTTCAGGTGAGGGAGTCAAACTACAGGTTTTGTTTGAAATGCATAAAAAAATGATTATAGCCATACAACACATTGTTTTAGCTAATTCCACAAAACCGAGTTAGGCCTAATTGGAAATAAGGGAAAGTATTCAACATAAATCAACAATTTCTTTTTCTTTTTTTAAACATATTTTGTAACAATATTTTATGTTTTCCTTTTTTTTGTTCCAGAGTTGAAGAAGGACAAGTGTGAGTTGGGTGTAAATGGTGTGGGTGTAGGTGTCGTTGCACCTGAGACTCAGTCCCAGGAGCCTCGACCTGAGCGACCGTCATCCCTTGGGCCCGGCCGCCTTACCCGCAGACTGCTGTGTTACCACAACGACCACTACTCGCCCACCCGACCTCTCCCGGACAGTCAAGGTAAAATCCTCAGTAAGGCACCTTACTCCTGCACGCCGCTGTAGCAAGGGTCAGGGTGTTATAGCTACCAACTTATCAAATTATAAGTTACTCACCAAGTGTAGGGAATTGTAGTGAGGGTGAGATGACAGATATTCCAATCGACTTGCTGTGGCATGTATGATGTTGAAGCTAATGACTGAAAGGCGTCGTAAACAAACACTCATTGGTCCAGCAATACTGTGATGAATCAACTCTCTGAAGGAGGATATTATGTGAAGGAGGCGCTGACTATGTGAGCGCCACTTATACAAGTCGCAGAGTATAAAAGCCACAGAAAACGTACTACTATAACCCAGAATGCCAACCGCATAGTAAAAAGCATTAAGCGGTTTGAGAGAGCTTTGCCTGTCAATCGGTAGGCAGCGCCACCAGCGTTGCTATGCTATTGCATGGCAACGCTGGTGGCGCTGCCTACGGATTGACAGGCAAAGCTCTCTCAAACCGCTTAATGCTTTTTACTATGCGGTTGGTGGCATTCTGGGTTATAGTAGTACGTTTTCTGTGATAAAAGCTCCCATATAACGGAATATACGTTGATGCTGCATGTTTCTGCGGCTTCCTTTCAAGGAACATGTCTAGATAAAAATTTTGTTGCAGCCTCATGCTGTTTCTATAATAATAAAAACTATCATGTGTGTCTTTTTGGTTTGTTATAGTGTGTTTTTGTTTTCCTTAAACCATGTTTTCCACAGTTATAACTGGAATACCTGTACTTAAAAGGAAGCAAATTAAATGCATTATCATATCTTTTAAAAGCTAAGATTTTAGAGCAGTTTTTGTAGCCATTTGCTAATCTCTAGTATTTTTCTTAAACAAAGTGTCTGTAGACTTATTTTTAACCTTTTTTGTGAAAACCAAAATTTCTTAGTTCTAATCAATTTAAATAGCAATTCTGAAGCTTTGGGCTCAACAAAAGCTGTCTATTCTTACATAGAATTTAATGGAGAATATGATGGTAGTGTCAAAGTTATAAAAATGTATGAAAATTCTAGAGGAATTTTAAAATTTTGTGTAAATGTACAGGATTAAAAAAAAAATCAAAATAATGTTTCTGCAAGTGGGTGTATGGAATATATTTTTTTAAATTGTGGATTTGTGTCACACTTGTGTTGCTCTACCACCCAAAAAAATTTTTTACGCTAGGTCCAGACCACTCTGTATGTAGTTGTATCAATAGTCTGGTTAAACTCTGTTATACTGAATGAAATTCTAAAAAATCTACTGAAAGCTGTAGAAGAAAATTCAGTCACTAAAATAGGTTATTGTTTGTTGCAGTAGATGGAGGGTCTCCCAGGTTGTGTACCCCCCCACCCCCCAGTGACTCACCCCTTACTCTGTCAGAGTTGCCGGAGCCCCCCATACCTGTGTCAGAGATTGGCCCCATCCCCCCGCCACCCATGTTCAGCAGCAATGCTACCAGCATACACAACGCGGTTCCACTGGACCTGTCTGGCATGAACTATGGCCACGATGGTAAGTAGGAAACATTCATACTAGAGTTTTATTTTGGTTTTATCTGGCAGTTTAAGGTCTGCCCAGTGCCTTATGGCAACTGGTTGCAGAATCAATTGTTCGTAGACCGCCTTCTCACTAGGGTCGCAGCCACACTTGTCTCTTCACACATAGTGGCTGCCACCAAGTGGCTGAGACTTTCTCACTAAAAGTACTCTGTACTGGAAGAAATTTTTGCTTTTTCCTTGTCGGATACTTTTCCTTTATTCTTTAGTTTACCAATAGATTCAGTAAAAAATGTATTGCCCCATTCATCCATATTGTTAACAAGCAACTAAATGTAGCCTAAACCAAACCAAACAGTATATATATACAGGGTGTCCCGGAACTCTCTACCAATATTTTGGGGAATTGTTCCTGGGTAGTTAACATACCTAAATATCATATTTAAATTGTCCGGAAGTCCTATCCTACACAGCCGCCATTTTGTTTTTTTAGGTTATTAATTTTTTTCTTTCTAAGGAATGGTTAAACATACGAAATTGAAACTTTGCACAAACATTTATGACAACTAGACAAAGCTACCAAAAAATTATGCTTTCAGCATGCGCTGCAACTAACCTCCACGGTTACGTATCACTAAAACTACCATATCTCAGTTAATACTCGTCCAATCTTCAAAACTAAGGTGTCAATCGATTTGTAATAAAATTGCCTTAAAAAAGTTATTCTTGTAAAAATTTTTTAAAATCAACGGTTTTCGAGTTATTTAAGAAACAAAATTTAAAATGGCCGCCATTTTGTTTTATGAATTTTAAAAATCGTCATAATTTTTTGGTAGCTTTATATAGTTGACATAAATGTTTGTGCAAAGTTCCAATTTCGTATGTTTAACCATTCCTTAGAAAAAATTAATAACCTAAAAAAACAAAATGGCGGCTGTGTGAGTAACTAAGGACTTCCGGACAATTTAAATATGATATTTAGGTATGTTAACTACCCAGGAACAATGCCCTAAAATATTGGTAGAGAGTTCCGGGACATCCTGTATATATACCAATATATATATATATATTGTTTTTTATATATATATATATAGTTATAACTCAAAATAAATACCTGAGAATCAAGAAAGTATCAAGGTTCGTGTGCTGCTTCAAACAAGTGGATATCAGTGACAGATAGGTGTACAGGGAGGGCAGTCAGATGAAAAAAACAAGCTGCGCACGAGTCCCCAAAAGCTAGGTTGCCAGGCCCAATGTGAAGGGCCAGGTATATTACAATGGCCCTCTTCAAGTTGAGTCGCTGAAAAAGCACGGTGGCAGCTACAGTCCAGCGATGCATTTCTCACTGCCACAGAGGTGGATCATTGAGACCTGATAGTGGGAAGGGCTCCACAAGACTCAATGCAATTTCACAGAGCTAATGGCTAACGGGTGGCTGCGACCTAGTGAGAAGGCAGGCTTAAGATCAAACTACAGTAATTGCTTGTTCAGTGATCCTCACTAAATCATCACTGAATTAACTGACATTTAGATTAACCTTCTCTGCTCATGCAAAAATAGATGTTGGTTTACTGACCCAAATTTGAAATCTCTTTTGACCAACCTCCTCTAAGAATCAAGAGACTATACTGTTCCCATATTTATCACAGTTATTCAATAGAATTACGAGTAACTCATATGTTGCACAAATAGTTTTGTATACAAACATTTTAAGTGAAATTGTAGTGTGTTTGCACATTGTTGATTGTGTGGACCACTTAATGTTTTAATAATAATATGTGTGTTATTATTAAATATTATTAAATACTATTAAATACAATATTAAATAAATATTATTAACATCAAAGAACAGAGTTGACACAAATTTTCAGATATTAAAAAAACAATTTTGTAGCTATAAAACGATGTTAAATAGTTTTATCACTCCAATTATTCTCTAATAGAATTGATAGTGAATAATTACGATTATTATATTATTACTTGTGTTTGTATTACAGAAGGAGAAGATGAGGAGGACTATGTGGATGATTCTGATGGTGAGGGGAGAGGGGACGATGACGACGACTTGAGTCTACGATTGCGCGGGCCGGACCCGGCGATCGACACGTCGCGCGTTGAGGAAATCCCTGCCAAAGAACCAAAGTTCCATGCCGTCCCGCTCAAGAGTGCACTCAAGAAACCCCCCACTCCTACGCAGGAATCACCCCTAGGCACCCCAGTGTCTGGCGGCCCACTCAAGTGAGTCACTCACAGGAACAATCTCCTAAGGCATTTCCACACTGCACGTGACGTGCATGGCTGGATGTCCGTGCCAATTCACGTAATCGCAAATTTCATCATTTGATGCGTGATCTCAAGGCTGACAATCATAAATTCTTAACTTATCTTATTCAGTATAAATCTCTGCGTAAGCGCGGGCTCAAAATGCGTCCGCCACATTTAAAAAGATCGCTCAAGGAGCAAACGTTAGCCACGCATGGCCAGTTAGTGGGCGTGGCACGTGGTCATAGCCCTGCTGAGTGAATGATCTCATGATATGTAGGGAAGCGATATTTTGAAAAGTAGTTAGCTTACATCCAGCTACGCACGCCCCCCGCCACAAGCAGTGTGGAATAGCCTTTAGTGTTATAACCCTTTGCCCAATACCGCACTGAACAAATTACAGTACAAACAAACTAACATTTCCCTATTCAATTGTGTGTCCTGTACAAGTCGCAGCCACGCTTGTCCCCCGCACATGGTGGCTGCCAACAAGTGGCTGAAGCCTTCTCGCTTAAAAAGTACTCCGTTTTGTGTACTATGATTCATTCCCCAAGATCATTAGTATGTTACTATATTTATTTCAGCTATTCATACAATGTTGCTCATGTAGTTTTTTATTTAAACATGACTGTTTCAAGTGAGTTTTTTTTTTTATGTGATTGGACATGACCCTCGGCAAAACAAGCCAAAACTGTACAAACGTTACACAGTTTTTGCAACAGGAGGCCATCTTAAGATTTATATCTTATTGAGAATATTTATATCCTACAATCAAGTTCAATAATTCACAACTAAAACAAATGTATCTTTAAAACAAATATCAGCGTGAACTGCAATACAATAAGCTGCTCTCAGCGCTTGCACTGAAGCTAATAACTATATTGTCACTGACTGTGAGCAACACTGTAGCACTAAGAGGGTTAATAATGTAACAACATTTTTAATTACAGTACAGGACTGAGTATTACTCTGTGGTGCTTAATTTGTTTTTGTATAAGGGACGTCACCACACACCACCACAGTTGCCTCTGTGTACCACTAATGATTTAACCCTTCATGGCTGATACATGATCCATTAGTACACAATACATTTTTTATTCGTTCAGATATTTGCCCTTCCTACTATTTCTCTTTGGCCGTGTAAGAACCCTTGCTAGCAAAGCACATCAACATACAATGCCAACATGTTCTACCACCAGCAATGCATACTTTCATCAACAAACTGACTTAATTTGCAATTTACCATTCACACTTATTTTAACCTTTTTATAACCAACCTACTTGATAAAGTCTGTTTTGCTTCATCTGAATCTTTCTCTTTGTAAATATGTCTTCTTGTAATGTGTATCATTGAATGTCACATTTATAGCACTTACTAGCATATAAGGTAAGGAACTGAAACTTTACAATATTGGTTAAAAAACTATAATATTTATAAACGTTCACGTTTTACATTTTCAAATTTGTCATTCTTTTCGCAGTAGTGAGTTTGTTTTCTTATTAAATATTATTCCGAAAATGTATATCAAACAACTTATGTTTAAACCATTCTTTGCTACCTTGTTGCTCAGTAAGAACATTTGTGTCACTGCAGATTGCAGGTTTCTTTTCTTTTGTTTACCTTTTTTATTTTGTTTGTGCTGGACAGACGGCCACCTTTAAGGCCGAGGATTCGCATATGGTAATTCCGTCATTTATCATGCTTCTGTTAATTGTTACTTTTATTGGAGTATCAGTTTTTTTTAATATATTTTAATTATATCCATACAATCATACTAATACAATGGAATCATCTATGACACAATAAAGTGACATTTTCCAGCCATTTCTTGTACACATTTCTTGTAATTTGATTTAAAGTATTAGTTTTAGACAGGACCTTGATTTGACAAATATTGTTCTATTGATTCTAAAGTAAGGTTCTTATTCAATAAATCAATTATGATGTGTTACTCAAAATAGTTACTCATATCCCTCTCAGTCATGCATCATTTGAATGCACATCATATACTATAAAAGGTCACATAGATTTATATACAGCACCGTGTTTAGGCTGCATAATTCACCATTGCACAATCACTCTGGTCTTGCTTAGTGAACACTTTTGTCTGTTTCATTGCAAGACCGCACAGTAGATGTGATCGTGCCAGGAACTACGTGCTCATGAGAGAATATTTTGAAGTCTGAGTCACATAACTTGGCTCACACACAATGTCAAAAGTATTCCATACTTCTAGTTGCCATCATTTTTTATATTTTGGATATCTAAACGTATTAATATTAATGATCTAAAGGGTATGCTTTGTTTCAAATAGATTTAGGCTACTGTAGGCCTACATATTTTACAAATCCTATCCTCCCCTTCATGAAATCTGCCTCTTGTATTTAATATAGCCTGTCTGTACTTAGTCCATTTCATCCTAACATATAATGAAGCGTCCACACTTAGCATACTCTGTCTGTCTTGAGTACCTAGTCAGTACAATAACAAAGTCTTGTGTTATACAGTTCTCGACCTGTCAGGTTCGGACTTGCTCTTCCTTGCACGCTAGAAGACAAGGAGAACACTCGGCCTTCGTATAACAACAGCAATGATGGAGACAGTGACAATGATGGCCCAGTGCTGTACCGAGACTGTGACGATGACAGTACGTATGGTGAGACATCCTTGCATTTCATTTATAGAGTTTAGTATATCATTACATATCAATATATCATAGAATACTCAGCCATCCAACACCAACAGCAATGCTGGAGACAGTGACAATGATGGCCCAGTGCTGTACCGAGACTGTGACGATGACAGTACGTATGATGAGACATCCTTGCATTTCATTTATAGAGTTTAGTATATCATTACATATCAATATATCATAGAATACTCAGCCATCCAACGACAACAGCAATGATGGAGACAGTGACAATGATGGCCCAGTGCTGTACCGAGACTGTGACGATGACAGTACGTATGGTGAGACATCCTTGCATTTCATTTATAGAGTTTAGTATATCATTACATATCAATATATCATAGAATACTCAGCCATCCAACACCAACAGCAATGATGGAGACAGTGACAATGATGGCCCAGTGCTGTACCGAGACTTTGACGATGACAGTACGTATGGTGAGACATCCTTGCATTTCATTTGTAGAGTTTAGTATATCATTACATATCAATATATCATAGAATACTCAGCCATCCAACGACAACAGCAATGATGGAGACAGTGACAATGATGGCCCAGTGCTGTACCGAGACTTTGACGATGACAGTACGTATGGTTAGACATCCACATTCTATTTGTAGAGCTCATTACTACCATATTGCACAGTACTATATTACAATTACAAACAACCTTTCAACCCATTGACGACGACTGACGAGTGTGGCCAGTCACTGCGTTTCTCAGCGAGATAGGACACAGGATGTTATGGTGTGGAAATAGATTTTTTTTTAATTTTTAGAGCCTTAAAAACAAACAAAAATATTATATTAGAGCGTTTTGTACACCTCATGGTTAAGGAGAAAATTCCAAAAGACTGTAAATAATATTTCCAATGATTTTTTTTATAGAAAATAAATAAACAGTTGTAGTTTGCTTGTTTTGGGATATATTCTGATCAAATTTGGAAAACATTTTTATTTTCTGTCAAGCTATTAAAATGTACGAGCTGTTGGCCCGTCCTACGTACGGGAATTGAGTAGTCAACTAAAATTGAAGTCATGTCAATATTTCCATTTCTAATCTAAACAAAGTTTAAGTGGTTAAACATTTATTGTAAACAAAAAGCTGTCAAGATAAATTAAAACGTGTAAACATTGTTATTTTCCTATTCTTTCCTCAAAAAGTCGTACAGGAAATAATTTTCATAACCTTTCCTTTGAAGACCTTTCGGGGGAAAAGCCTCAATTTGTATACATCAGTGGTAGAATTTATCTCATTTCCTATGATCAATGGCAAAATCACAGAATAATAAACTAACCTGATAGTTCTGTAGAATATTTTTATATTCAACCAGCTGTTAGTTAAAAAAATTATATTTCACTCAAACAAACTTAAAACTTTAAAGACTGCTCTAAAAAATGACTTAGAACATGTAGCATTTTACCATGTATATTTAAATAGTCTGTCATCCTCTTACCAAATATAAACGTATCAATAAGTATAGCATTACACATATGCATGTCATTATTATCCAAATGTTGAATTTGTGTCACACACGCTTAATGTTTACAGCTGTTACGTTAAGCAAATGGTATTATATCAAAAGCTAGTGTAGAATGTTAGCGTCGGCTGCTAGACTTTTTAAAATTGTAAACTTATTTTCTAAAAAACTGAAACCCTAAACTAAAATTATGGCTTCAACATTCCCTAGTTCTCAAAATTATCTTTCTTTCAACACAAAGATCATGGAAATTCGTCAAGTGGTTGATTCAGAATCGTGAAATAAAAAAACCCTGTCACGTTTTAATATTATAGAGGGTATATAAAAAATACCTTCCAGACTTTATTACCTTACTAGCTGTACCCGCGGGCTTTGCCCCGTTTAACTTCATAAGTAAGCTCGTTCGCTTGGCTCAATCACGTCCTGGTTGAACCCGCGGGCTTTGCCCCGTTTAACTTCATAAGTGAGCTCGTTCGCATGGCTCAATCATGTCCTGGTTGAAGTTCGTTCGCTACGCTCACTCACTTTTAGGTTAGAGCTAATTCGCTGCCCTCACTTACCTTCAGGTTAGCTCGTTCGCTACGCAAACTCGCCTCCAGGTTGAAGTTCGTTCGCTACGCTCACTCACCTTTTGGTTGCAAATTAGCTGTTGTCATAAATGTAAAAGAAATAATAGTGCTGCACCCTGTTGGTAATCCTTGTAACTTTAATGCTATTGAACATCATAGATCAGAACCAACTTGTTTAATTGAAACAGCTGTTAAGATTCATTAATTCCATTTAAATATGAGTACTCATAAGGTTAACATGGGAAACTGCAGAGCTTCTGGGGCGGAGCCCAGAGGTCGGAGGATAAAATCCTTTCTTAGTGAGCGTCTACTACCCAAAAGGAAGATGCCTGCCAAGTTTCAGGTTCCTAGGTCTTATGGTTTCTGAGATTTCGTGATGAGTGAGTGAGTCAGTGGTATTTGAGCTTTATATATAGATTTCAAAATACTGTACATCTGACAATTTTAAGGAAATATTTTAGTGAAAATCCAACCAGGTAAATGGAAATTCGTCTAGTCTGCAGGTTTGCTGTGGCGGGGGTATCTTTTCTGTGTGTAGCCTACATTTCTTTTCTCATGCAACACTTTTTCAATCTAATTCTAGTACTATTTAACTTGGCTTATTGTATTAAATTGTTAATCAAAATCCATTTACTGATTTTTTATTGATTATTTTCCTGAAGTTTAATTAAAAGATTTAAACGACTAAGGGAAATTTGGAAAAATAAATTCACTTAAGGACTTGCGCATTCATTGTCAAAAAGTGATATTGCCAGTGAAAATATGATTGCATTCAAGTGCAGACACTATAAAGGCCAGCCATATCAGGAAAACTTGCATCCGATGCTGGGGTAAAAATATAGGTTGACATTTGTTTCAACTCGAGTGAGCCTTTTGTTCCTATTTCCCTTGCTACATTTATTTTTCCAACTAGCAGAGTACCCGTCCTTCGTATGGGGTTGCATATAAGTGAAAAAAATGCTTATTGCAGTTATACTCAAGCTTTGCGTTTGAAATGGGGGAGGACACAGCTAAATAAAATTTTCTTATTTAAATTGACGGTATACTATGGTATTACTCATCTACCATAGCCACAATGTTCTCCCACTTCACCTAAACAATAAAAAATATTAAAAATTTGCAAAAAATCACAAATTATTCATGACATTAAAAACATGAACATAACTGTAAACAATCATATTTTGACAGTTATTATTAAGTATTACAGTTTTTGTTGCTACTTAGTTCATATTAGCTGTTTACATAAATGCAAAAAAATATAGTGCTGCTCCCTGTTGATCATAGAACCAACTTTTTTAGATGAAACAGCTTACTAAATTCTTTAATTCCCTTTAAATATTAATAGTCATAAGGTTAACATGGGGAACTACAGAGCCACTGGGGCGGAGCCCGAAAGGATTTTTGAGATAAGAATATGCCTGTATGTTAATCGGGAATGTAAGCTATCATCATGCCAAATTTCAGCAGAATCCGTCCAGTGGTTAATGCGTGATTGAACTTCAAACAGACACACAAACTTTCACATCTTAATATATAAAAGAAAGTTGTGTTAGTTACAGCGTTTATAACTAGAAAACTACTTAACCAATTGGCATGAAAATTTACAGGGATATTCCTTAGGTACTAGAATAACATAATAGCCTTTTTCCGTTTCAAAAACCCTTAAGGGAAGCGTCCTATGGCCCTTTGCAGTTTACATGTTAATCTTATGGAAGAATGTTTTATTTTGTTTACCATGCCATGTTTGTCATTTCTTGATTAAATTAAATTAAGGAAACAGCTGTTGTAATGATAACCAAATTTTTAAAAACAAATTTATGCATAACAAATGAGAGCTATCAAATAGGTTTTTATTCCATTTGTTTTTTACGAATATTTGTTGTCAAATGTAACTGAAGGCAAGTGAGCACAGGAACGAGCTCCAACTTAAAGGTGAGTGAGCGTAGCGAACGAACTTCAACTAGGACGTGATTGAGCCATGCGAACGAGCTCATCTTGAAAATGAACAAGCATTTGACATAAAACCACATTAGGACGACGTCTGTCGGGCCAGCTAGTTTATAATATTAGTAAGATATATGCATTTGGGATTTTTATTTTTCATAAAAGCATATATAACTGGTTAATTACATTTCCTAGTTTTTCATCACTAAATTAAAGATCTTTCAGTTCATAAAGTTTATGTAAAAAGATATTTTGTGTTTGGCCTCAGTACATTTTACATGTTTATGATTATCAAGGGTGAATATTATTATTGAAGTAGGAATTCTGCCAGAAATAGTCTTTGGTGTTTTAATCGTGGAATAAGAGTGACTATTTAGTATACCGAGGAAGCAGCCCAAACTGATAGCTTTTTCACTGTGAAAATGTTGTGTAACCTTCAATAAATCAACTTCTGACTAACTATCCTCATGCTTTCATACATTTGTTGTTATGAAAATATCTATGTAAATGTGGGATAGGGTTCACCCGGAACTATTTTATATACTGTACAATTGTAGAATTTTTCATTAAAATGTCCTTTAAATCGTTATTAGTACAGTAAAACTATTATTATTATTATTATTATTATTATTATCATTTGAGATGGAGACACCACCTATGTGCCTACTTTAACCCAAATATGAGTAAAGGATGAGTGTAGAATGGAGCGTGATACCGTGTGTAGCTTTTAGCTTTGTCTAAGACCAGCTGTTTCATTAGTCAGGACAGATGGGTCCAGTTTCGAACCATCAAAAAGGTACATATACTTTTCTAAAAGCATTAACTTAATAGTTTAAATATTCTTTGATTTATTTTTTAAGACAGGAATCTCTAATTTAAAAAAATAATGTCTCGTGTGAAATTTGTATCAAATGTTTACTTAACAGGTTCAATACTGGCCGTCACACAGATCTTTATGTCTAGCCTCCTGACACTGGTAGTGAATGTGTTAAGTTGAAGAAAATTATGTACTTTTAATCTTTTAACTGTGCTAAAACTTGGCAGAAAAGGGAAATTTCTTGGATTTCTCACTTATGTTAGTTGACTTAGGGCTGAGGTCCATCATAATTTTTAAACCAAAGTTGATTGTCAAGCTGTGTTAATATAAGCCATATAAGTCTAGTTGTGTGTAGGTCGGCTGGCGGCTAAGATCGCACGCAAGGACAGTCTGGCACTCAAGCTGGCGCTGCGGCCTGACAGACAGGAGCTGATAGACCGCAACATCCTGCAGCTGCAGAGTGATAAGGAGCGACAGGAGACCAAGGAGGCAGTTGGTGCTCGATTGATAAGGTACAGATAACCCTCACTGTAGGTGCTTTTACATACATCACAGGGTTTTAAGTTGGGCATGATCATCTTTGAGTAAAAACCCTGCTCTTGGAAAAGTGCTGTAACAATTAGTTTCTTGAAAAAATGGTCCCAGAAGATACAAGGTATTAGTCGTTTGACAGCCATGGGGTGTTTTATTTAATAACTGGCAAAGCATTGGTGTCCTCTTAACGATAATCTAGGTTCAGTTTGTATAACGATAACACGCCTTCTTCGCAGGTCTTGATTTTTCATTTATCATCATTGTATGTAAGCTTAAAGTCGGGACCACGTAAGTTTGCAGTTGGTGGCAGAAAATCACAAGACAAGACTAGTGCGACGTTGCCACATCGACTGTTGACAACACTAATTAAAATATACTAAGCAATATTTTCAAATCAGCTGGTATTATTAAATTTGGCAACACCGCACGGTTCTCATTGGTTCATTCAAAACCATATGGTAAATAGGCTCCTCCCTCAACTGCAAACTTAAGTGGTCCCGACTGAAGTGGTGCATCTGTGCTGAGACACCTCTTAAACAATTACTTTACAATTACTCTTACAATTACAATATGATCTTTTTTTATTGATAGTTTACATAGCATGGTGGTGCTTATTTTAAGGCTACAATACCTGTAAGAAAATGTCAGCTTTCATGTAATGGTCTGTGTTAACAACTACTAACTATTTAAATTACAAGTTAAATTGTTATGTTTCATAGACAAAACAAATTTTTGGATTACATATTAAAATAAATGGTACGTTGATGTAAAAATGTAGTGACTAATTTAGTTGCTGTTTATTTTTCCAGGAGGTTGAGTATGAGACCGACTCAAGAAGAGCTTGAGGACAGAAACATCTTAAAAAGTAAGTAAACGATTGCCAAGGACTTATTTACAGCTTAGCAAGGGTATTTGCAGGGGCGGCTCCAGAGGGCAGGCCAGGTTGGTAGATAATTCAAAATTAGAAAGAAATAAAGCAATGTAATTATATGTAAATAAAAAGAAAGCATTTAAACTAATTATTTTACATTTAAATTTTAAAATTTCCCCCTTTTTGCAGGGAAGCCCCCTTCAAACATCTCGTCCCCGAATCAAACTATTTCTTGATCCTTGCCAGGCCTACCCAAAAAATTATTCCTGGAGTCGCCCCTGGGTATTTGTATTGGTAGGCCTACTTATAGTACATAACTGGTGTGAAGAGTTGCCCTTTTTTAAAATGTGATTATCTTTTTATTCAATTTGATCACAAAAATACATTGTTTGACTGTATTTTATGATAAACTAGCAGAGTACCCGTCCTTCGTATGGGGTTTGTGTATAAGTATAAAATGTTTGCAGCTATACTCGTGCTCTGTGTTTGCAATGGGGGAGGACACGGTTTTAGAAAATTTGGTTCTTTAAATTTACGGTATGCTATAGTATAACACATCTACCATAGCCATAATGTTCTACAACTGCACCTAAACAATAGAAAAAAACTTATTATCAAACGTTCTCACAATATCACAAATTATTTATTAAAACATAATAAACATAACTGTAACAAATCCTACTTTCACAGTTCTCATTGTGTATCACAGCTTTTTGTTGCTGCTTAGTTTGAATTAGCTGTTTTCATAAATGGAAAAAATAATAGTGCTGCACCCTGTTAGTAAGCCTTGTAACTTTTTAATGCTATTAAATATCATAGAACCAACATGTATAGTTGAAACAGCTGGCAAAATTCTTAAAATTCCTTTTTAATATGAACGAGCTGTTAGTCCGTCCTACGTACGGGAATCGAGTAGTCCTTTAAAACTGTATATAGTGTGTCTATTACCAAAGATTACATATATGTGTAATCTTTGCTATTACTAATTCAAGCAGTTCAAAATTTATAGTAAAGAAAAATTTTTGAAGATTAATTAAAACATGTGATCAATGATATTTTCTTAACCTTTCCTCAAATGTCGAGTATTAAAATAACTTTCATAAGCTTTCTTTTGAAGATTCGTGAGCTTCGATTCGTACACAGCAATGGTTATAGAATCTTACTTATTTCCTATAATCAGTGACAAAATCACAGAGTAAATAAACTAACCTCATAGTTCTATCGAATATTTGTATTTAACCAGCTGTTAGTTATAACAAATTATATTTCACAAAAACAAACTAAATATTCTAAAGACTGCTAAAAAAATAAACTCTCATCCTCTTACCAAATAAATGAAAGTATCAATGATTACATATAGTATAGATTACATAGCAGTATAGTAGATAGTATAGGATTACACATAGTATAGATAAATCAATTCTACGTAGGCCTATGTGATTTCATTTTCATCCAAAAGCTGAATTGGGTCGAAAACACTGAATGTTTACAGCTGTTACGTTAAAGCCTGCTAGACTTTAAAAAAATTAAAACTTAATTTAAAAAAAACTGGGACCCTAAACTAAAATTATGGCTTCGACATTCCCTAGTTCTCAAAATTATCTTTCTTTCAACACAAAAATCATGAAAATCCGTGGTTGATTCAGAATTGTGAAATAAAAAAACCCTGTCTTGTTTTAATATTATAGATACTCATAAGAATAACATGGAAACGTTGAACCCCTACGGGGCATAGCCCTATAGGATTTTCACATTTTTAATATGCCTATGTGTGTCTCAAGACTATCAAGTTTTCATGTGATGGAACTTCAGAGTTACACACAAACATCCATACTTTTACATTTATAAATTAGTAGTTTAAAAGAAGGTTTTAGTAAGGAAACATTTAGTTTTAATTGGAAATTTATTAGTTGCCAATTTTTTTAGTTTATAGAAATGTTCAGTTAGTTTCAAGTTTTTTTTAGAATTTCAAATATAATAACCTTTCTTGTGGAGGTTTAGATTTTATATTGTTGCAACCAACCCAAAATAAGTATCCATTTCAACAAAACAAATATTAAAAAAAAAACTGTATGCAGTATGCTTAACAACAGCTGGTTAACTTCATTAAAAGATTATATACTTCAAACATCAAACCCAAATTCTTACTTCTGTAATGATATTCTTTGTTTACTATTAATTGTTAGTACAACTATTCTTTTATTTCCAGAACAAACAGCAGCAGAAGAGAAAAAACTGAAAGAAGAGAAAAAGAGGATGTTGTTGCGCAAACTTAGTTTTAGGCCGACAGTTGAGGAACTCAAAGAAAAGAAGGTAATTATAGTTAAACATAATACTTTATCATTAGGAGATGGATAAGATAAAGTAAGCCTTCATTTTTACAGACCCCATCAATGTTAGCTTAGTCTGGTCAGCCAATTGACAGCAGTTCTTAAATTTTCATAGAGATAAGTTAGTTATATAGCACTAATCACTGTAAACTTTGCTGAATTTTTGCGTAGAATGCTTTCTAGTATCACACGATCACTGAGTCTACAAGAGTAAATGTGCAGGCAGGGAGATTGGTTAAATTGATCAAATTGTTCACATTTATGACTCACCAATGTAATAAACTAGGCCTATACAGTTTTACCTATATTGATTTGGTGTCTTTTCTGGCTGTAAAGTTCCTTGTTGTAAAAACTTGCCAATCAAATAAGTGATTTTCTCATAAATAATTATAATATTAAAACCACTTTTGTAACACAAGCTTTTATTTTCTTATTTAAATTAAAGACTAACTCTTGTTTGTTTACAAGAGTAACAATATTAATTCGAACATATGAATATAGCAACTGACTTGATTAAATTAAGCCAGTAGAAAAAGAAACAACTTAAAACAATTTCTAACACACTCCCCCCTTTGCGAAAGTGTTCGCAAAAAAAATAATTTTTTTTTCAAAGAAGGGAAATTACTACAGGTTTAATTTCTCAGTTCTCTGTACTCGTCTCCCGCTTCTTGTTGTTGTTACTGTCTTGTCAGGAGTAGAGTTCATCTTGAGTCCAGGATCTCTGTCTTCACTCAAGACTTCTAATGGGTACAACCTTTGTACTGGCCTCAAGAAAACTCCATTTTTTGTCTGTACTTTTACAAGACGTACAACGTTGTCTTTGCCAGGAAACACTTGTACAACTTTTCCTAGTAGCCACATACATCTTCTTTTGTCTTCATTGTGTACAATCACAATGTCTCCAACTTTGATAGTGTCAGTTCGACAATTCTTAGATGACTTCAAAAAACTTAAATATTCTTTTTTAAATCTTCTCCGTAGTTCATCTCTTAATTTTTGTAAATATCTCCATCTTGATTTTATACTTGTTCTTTCAAGAGTATCAAAGTCTGAAACATCACTTCTTTCAACACTTTGAATAAACATGGAAGGTGTTAATGGATTTAACTCATCAGGGTTTTCAGATATGTAAGTCAACGGTCTTTTATTCATTATATATTCACATTCACAAATTAATGTGTTTAGTTCTTCATAGTTGAGGGAAGCTTTTCCTAAACTTCTTCTGAGAAGACCTTTTAATATTCTAATCAACCGCTCCCAGAACCCTCCCCACCAAGGAGCTGCTGGTGGATTAAATCTCCAAACTATTGACTTTAGGTTGAACTCATCTTGTATCTTCTCCCAGTTCAATGTTTTCAACTGTTTATCGAGACCAACAAAAATTGTTCCGTTGTCAGAATACATTACTTCAACTCTTCCTCTTCTTGCAATAAATCTTCTAAGAGCAAGAACAAAGGTTTCGGTGCTTAAAGATGTTACTAGCTCTAGATGAACTGCTCGATAAACCGCACAGGTAAATATAACCACCCAACTTTTGCTACCATCTTTGCAATACAACGGGCCAGCAAGATCTACCCCTGTTGTTTGAAAACAGTTTGATATGTTTGTTCTTTCTTCAGGCAGTGGGGGTAAAGGGACTTGTAGTGATTTAGCTGCTAACTTTTTACACGTGACGCACTTGTGTATAACCCTACCAACATTTTTACGTCCTTTTGGTCTCCACACTCTTTCTCGTAGAATAACTAACAAGGCTTGTACACCCGCGTGCTTGTTCTGTACATGATACTGTTCGATTAGCCTGTCAACTGCAATATGATGAGATGGTAGGAAAACAGGATAAACAAATTCTTGATTATCTTCTGCACTAAAAACTCTTGATTTTAGTCGGATGATACCATCATCATCTATGAATTTTTGGATTCCACTCAGTGTAGTACATTTGAGTTCTGCAGGGAAACTTTCTTGTTGAATAAGTCTAAAGATAACTTTTTCAGCTCTTTTAAACTCATCTGCTTGAATGTTACACTTCATTCTTCTGTCATTCGTAGGACTCAGTCTTAATGCAACTGTCCGCACTATTTTTGAATATTTTGATATTCGGTTACCCAACAATTCAGCAATGTTAGATGTTTGAATGTTTGCAAATAGTAGTCACCAACCTCTTCTTTTCTTTTTCCATCTCTTGGGAACAAGGCACAGGTTTATCTGAAGGCCAATCCTCAAGAGATTTATAAAGCCATTCAGGTCCACACCACCACTGTGACTTAAATAGCTGTTTGGAGTACATCCCCTAGAGAGAATGTCTGCAGGATTATCAGGACCAGGTACATGTCTCCACTGAGAGGGTACAGTGAACTTGTTAATTTCTTTTACCCTATTCTCTATAAATACTGACCACTTTCCCTGTTTGGCAATCCAAGCAAGGGCCACAGATGAATCCAACCAAAACAATACAGGGAGGTTAGGGCTGTCGATACACTGCAATGCTAAAGAACACAGCCTTACACCAATTACAGCTCCCATCAGTTCAAGTCGTGGTAATGATATCTGTTTCACTGGTGCAACTCTTGACTTTGCTAAAATGAGACACTTACTTGAACACCTTTGTCAGTTACCGTTCTTAAAAATATACAACTTCCTAAAGCGTTCTTGCTTGCATCACAAAATACATGTAATGTACTACTAGTATTAACTATGATTCTACGGTTTATAGTACACTTTTCCAAATACTCAAGTTGGTCAGCCCACTTATAATATTCTTCTTGTAAGTCTTCAGGTAATTTATCATCCCAATTAAGTTTCAAAGTCCAAGTCTTTTGTAATATCATCTTAGGCACTAAACCAGTGGGTGCTGTAAAACCAATAGGATCAAAAATCTTCTGAGCACATGACAATAATGTTCGCTTAGTGAGTTTTGTTGGTTTTAAGTTTAAGGGTGAAGAACTACAATAGAATTCATCTCTTCTGCAGGACCACTTTAAACCCAAAACATTTTCTACATGATCTGGAGACTCAAAATAACCATTGCCAACCCATCCTCTCAGATTAAAATCCCCAAGCTTTAATACGTTTTCTGCTTGTCTGATTAATTTATTTTGGTCACTTAAATCATCAACCCCAGTCAAACAGTTGTCGACATAAAAAGATTCCTTTAAATTTTGAGCTATGGGTTGTAAATCAGTTGAAACATGGTCAAAATGATGATTTAGGACCGCACCTAACAAAAAAGGGCTACAAGAAAGACCAAATACTACTCTAGTGTGGCGATAAGTGATTACTTTCCCATCTTCCCACCATAAGAAACGTAACATGTCTCGATCTTCAGGGTCTATAACAATTTGTAAGAATGCCTTTTCTATGTCTGCAGTTAAACCATAAGTATGTTTTCTGAATTTAGTCAATACTTTAGGAATAAGTTCAATTAAGTTGGGGCCTGATTCAAGTGAAGAGTTTAGACAGTACCCGTGTATATCCTTGTTTGATGCATCAATCACAGGTCTAATTCTTGTTGTACTTCCTTCTTTTATGACCGGACGATGAGGTAAATAATGTACATTTTGTGATGATAAAGAGTTATCAACATCTACTTTTTCTATTATTTCATTCTCCAACCACTCATCAAAAACTAAGTCATATCCAGAATACAAACTCATGTGATGTAACTTACGTGTGGTTGTCTGTAGCCGTTTTTCTGCTGCTTGATGATTCGTTTCTAAAGGTGGATGGTCATCTATCCATGGAAGCTTCACAACATAACGCCCATCCATTTCCCTGTTGACTGTTCTTTCGAAATGTTCAAATACTCTGGCATCCTTTTCTTCTTTATCAAGCTGTTGGATGGAGTCAGCAATACCTAATGTTTCAAGGTCCCAAAAGTTTCCTATGTCAGATGTAGATAAGGTGGATGCAAACATCGTTGAAACGAAGGAAGATTTCTTATGTGATGACTAGGGATGGACGAGATTGGATTTTTAGTTCGAGACGAGACGAGACGAGATTTTTTATTTCTCATAAAATTTTGAGACGAGATCGAGACGAGATTTCTCTTCTCATACACAACGGGAAATGCACGTTCGAAATTTTTACCTGATTTTGTAACATTGTTAGATGACTGTTTAAATACTAAAATAAATAAATATAGGATGGAGAGGACACAGCTAACTCACCTGATGAAAGGTTGCAGATGAGTCAAAGAACACATAAAATCACACACATAATTTACTTAATATTTCGCCTCTTTCAGAGGCTTCTTCAGAAGTAGGCCTAGATGGTAGTTACAAAACAACAGTTTAAATAGGATGACACAGTTTGAATTCAAAATGTCTGACAGGTTGTCCAACTGACACTGCACAAAGCACTAAATACAGGCACATTGCAATATTGTATTTACATATAATATGTACATTGAAAAGCAAATTAGTTTTGTCCATGAAAATAAATACTTAAGAGTTAGCTGTGAGGGTGAGGATATGAGGATATTATCTAATGTTGAGGTTAGGTGGGGTTCTGGAGTTGGTCACAAACTGGTAAGCTAATTCCCATCTTCTGAGCATTGAACTATTGCATTGGTTCTTTGGCAATGATTTTAGAGCTTTTATGGTGAAACAGTCATCAAATAGAAGTTGGTGGGATAAGGCATGTTGTGCAACTGGTTTTTCTTTGCTAGTTTTAACATCATGTCGATGGCCGTTCATGCGTTTTCGGAGAGTCTCGGTTGTTAGGCCTATGTACTGGGCTGGACAATGTGAACATTGAAGCTGGTAGATAAGGTTCTCTGAGCTGCAGGTATGATGGCCTTGGATTCTGTAATTTTTATTATGGTATGTGCTGGTAAAAGTTTCTGTAGGATGGTGTATCTGGCAAGATTTACATCGGTTTTCATTGCATGGGTATGAGCCCGGTCTTGGTTTCTCAGATGGTATTTTTGATGGATTTGGGAGTTTTGGGTGGACTAGCATATTCCTCAAATTTGGGGGTTGCCTA